TATCATTATACATACATAAAATGAGTGAAAATAAATTATTATTTCCTAAAACATATTTTTTATCTTCAACAATCAAATGCGCCTCTCATTTGATTTTTAATTTTTTATAGATAATATAAATAATATTACATTTTCATCTTTATTTATTTGAAAACAAATTTGTTCTTTTACAAATTTGGGGTTAAGGTCAATATTATTATTATTATTATTGGTTAAGGCCATTAATGAAAAAGGGCAGAAGCAAAGAAAGGTCTTCATATGAGTCTTAGTAATCTTAGGAAGGCAGGTAGATGATGGGCACAATAATTGATTTGGAGTGTAGTACGATAATTGCATTTTCAAATCATTAAAAAGGTACATAATGGAGCATTGACTACAATTAACCTTAATATTAAAATGACCAAATAATTTCCAACTACCAATATATATTAGGACATCTACAACCGAAACTCTCATTTTTCACTGCAAAATGCAGTAAAATAAAAAAATGTCGTTATTCATCTTCAATGGAACGCCATTTTGCCCCCTAACCATCGCTCGTTTCTTTCGCGTCATTCTTAGGCAAGTTCTGTAGAGAGAAAAGAATGATGCAAGTGAACAGTGCGACGCTAATATTGACGTCGCACTGTTCAACTGAGATCAAATGACGGAATAAATGGCGTTCGATTGCTACGTTTGAGGGCCTCCATTCGGTTGTTTGCGGAACGGTTGGAGATGATCTTAAAACGGTATATATATATATATATTAAAACGGTATATGAAATGAGTATATACGTGAAAAAAAATAGAGTATATCTAATGGCAGATAAGATTAGAGAGAGTCATCTTAGATGATTTGATCTCATAAAATGTTAGCCTTCCAATAACCCTATTAAGAGAGCATGTGTATTAGATCAACCATATGTTAAAAAAGGAAGAGTTAAACCAAAAAATACTTAGAAAATATTAAGAATAATATATATTTTTTTATTTTTAAATAAAAATTTAACTATTAATAGAACACAATAGAAAAAAAAAAAGAAAGAAAACTTTTAGTCTGCCCCACATACTGTAATGTTGTCAATAATTAAAAGATAAAGAGCTTAGATTAATAAAATAAAGATTAAATATATGATATTTAATTTTAGTGCAATAATATTAGAAGATAAAAGAGACATCTCATTTTGATAGATATAAGTATTTGGATTTATTATACAAAAGTATGAAGATATAAATGAGAATGTAACTTGAAGAGTCAAGAATGAATGATTGAAATAGATAAATGCCTCAACAATATTACGCAATAAAATGATATAAAAAGAATTAATGATAAATTCATTTTATAAAGATATAAATAGACCGATGGTGTTATGGGTCCATGAGAGTGGAGAAAGTTTACGATGGATGTTAGGGCTATAAGTGAACCGAGCATTCGCTGAGCTAAGGGCCTCACAATTTTACAACTTGGAATGAGGGACTCGAACACCCTCTCAGTTGTTATAAAATCAAATAATTAATCAAATTATGCATATACTAAAATTATGGAGTGGCAGATATAACAACCCAAATTCTTCACTATTGAGATATTATCTGTCTTGACCTAAAGGCCTTACAATTTTGTTCTGTTGGTATAGCTCTTCAGGAGGTCACCCATCTTAAGATTTCTCCGAAAAGAACATGTTTAACTACAGAGTTTCTTAATGAAATTCAAATCATTACACCAAAAAACCTCTCAATATTTAAGAGTTTAGCTTCTTTTATTTAAGAGATTTCACAGCATAATTGTGAAATGGAGGAGACTGGCCTGGAATGCTAATAAAACTTAGGTGTATTATATGCACTTGGACATGATTTTAATGATACAACGATAAAATGCCTAAATATATATCAATGCTAAGTTATAATTGAGGAAAAAAAGGAATAGGAGGATGAAGGAAAAATGTACTTGTAGCTGTTCGAAGGATTGTACTGCCCAGCGATGCCCAACCACGTAATATGCAGCACAAGGAATCTAAACTTGTCATTAGTCAAGTTGTTCAATTTTTTTCCTACAATGATATTGAGAATTATGATATTAGAAAAGCAGTAAAGGAAAGGATGAATAAAACAAAGGCAAACAGTGTCATAAGCTTTGATTGTGCAATTTGAATTTAAAAAGAAAGAATAAACAAAATAATAATAATCATTTACGCTTCGTTTGAGACGGTTTTCTTACTATTTCTTAAAACAACTTTTTAATATAAAAATTAAACTTTTATAAAAAATTACTTTTAAAAGCAGTAAAAAAACCGTCCTAAATGAAGCTTTAGTTAAGTGGGGGTTTTGGCCAAATAGGTGCAGATTGGTCCCACTAAGGCTTCATTTGAGACAGCTTTCTTTCTACTTCTTAAAGCAGGTTTTATGTACAAAAAAATTACTTTTTGTACTAAAAGTTGCTTTAAGAAGCAATAAGAAAGTCGTCCTAAACGAAACCTAAGTTTTAGACCAGTGCTCATCTCCATACATACTATAACCATCCAGACAGAGCTTGCTTGCATTCACAAGTGGTAAGCAGCGAGATATGTTGAAGAGGGCATTGCGAGATATGTTGTAGATAGATTTCAAAGAGGCAATGACTATAGGTTTTGCCTACAACAATGATTGAAAGTTTACCTCCTGGAATTATCAAATTCCCTCATTTTGCAAAATAACATGAAGTATGGTGAAAATTGACCGGATTCTTAATGTGAGGTGAAGGGAGCAGTGTGGGTTTATTGCACATGGTGAGTACTCTTAGGACTCTTAGATCGATTTATAAGGTAGGGTTGAATTTAGGTTCTCCAAATTCAAGCCCATATTTGGAAATTTGATCTGATAAGTATAATAATGTATAGAAATTCATCACATAATTAAAGAATTCAGAATGATCCAATGTTTATTATCCCTCGTTTTGACTATCACTAGTTTACTCTGCATCAGCAGGTAGGATATAGCTTTGTGTGCAAAGGCCAGTAGCGGGCCTACATGTGAAAATGAATTATTATTATTATTTTTATTTCAATCTCAACCCAGCCTGAGAAACCCAAAATCAATTGGTGGACTGAATATTTTCCAATTATTTGATTATTTTGACAATAAACAACAATTTTATAAAGGAGAAAAACAGTTCTATTTTTTAACTATATGTTGCATCATCTATCACTTGTGGAAAGAAAAAAATAATCGTCATTTTAATGAAATTTGGGCTAGCACATCAGCTGTGATTAACTCTATAAAGTTTGCTATGCAACTAAAAGTCTCCAAATGGAAAATCTATGAATCAATCAAAGATACATTTCCTGGTATCCTATTATGAATTTCGGTTCTGCCTTGCGAGTTTTCCTTCTTTCATCACCTGGACAATGATGAGTGAAACCAATCATTCATCTCTAATCCTCTGGAGGGTCTATAAGGCAACCAAGTAAATTTGTTCTAATGATATGATGCTGATAGTAAATAGCTACTCAGTTGCAGTCCACGTTCCTAGGCATCCGGGTTTGGCTTATGATCACCTGAGTCCAGAGGTTTTTCTTATTCCCTTGTTTTCAAGTTTGTCTCTAGTTTGGAGTTTTTAGTGCTCGGTTCTTGAATTTTGTAGTAAGTGTTGTTTTTGTTGAATTTTAATGTTCTTGTATCCTTTTGTCATTTATAAAACAGGCTTTGCCCCAGATATTATTATCCATCGAGGTTGGTAGGTGAAAGCCGCTATCCTCTATGACTAATCGTATCTATAACTCCATCTGCTCTTCCATTGGCCTGCTTGTGTCGATTGTAAAGGTCTACGACCATTTTGTCCTATGGGATAGTGTGATCGCACCCTTTGCATTCGAACCACACGAGCAGAATCCTTTCGGAGACCCACAACCATTAGATCTAATCAACTTGATAATTGAAAAACTATTCGTTGACCATTTAGATATCAGCATACTTCATGCCTACTTGCAACTTGAAACATTAAATGCCATACTATTCGTTTTGGTTAATAACAGAATTGTAGCTATTGAAAACCCGTGCATCATTTTTCTCCTATAAAAGCTCTCAGTTTTCCTTAGCTATCCGCTCACCCGCGAATCAATTCTCTATTGAATTGACTCTATGTTTCCGTTCCACTTCTTTCCAATGGGATGTTGCACGTAGTGGCTTATACTTGGCAGTATTTTATTGTCCAGCGGCTCTATTATTCCCTTTTGGAAATATGTTGGTTCCTCTACTAAAATCAAGTGGACTATTGCTAGAAAGGTTTAATTCCTGATGTAGTTGTGTTCAAACCGTGTACAGCTTTTAATGTTTTCTAGTTTATTGTTTCCTTACAGTAATATTTTAATTCCTACTTTGATATTTCATTATTATTTAGCATCAATTACTGCAGCCTACATTCCTTTCGTGTTAGTCCAAAATTTTTATTTAAATCTCAGTCATTCAACTGAGAGGAATGTTTTAAAAATGAAATATAATTGTTCAACTTCACTCACTCTCTTCTTTTCAACAAAATCCAATTTTTCTTCTTCTCACCATCTCTTCTTTTCAACAATAGCTAATAAATATATGTAACTCCCTTGTGTTTTTTAAAATTATGCTTGCCACTTATGTTGTTAGATATTAGATTATAAGTTAAACCCAAATAACAAAAAGTCTTTATACCACTACATGGGGTTAGCTACATGAATTCTTTTTCTCCATTATGTCTTGTTAAGAGTCAAATTCTCATTTAAATCAAGTAAAAAGGGTCATTTTTAATATTTTCTAACCAAGTCTGTTTAGATCTACCTCTACCTTTATTAACATAAACCAAATCTAATACATCTACTCTCCTAACAAGACGTTTTATGTGTCCAAGATATCTAAGGAGACTCTCTCTAATCTTATAACATAAATTACACTCACTCAATTCATCTTCTAAAATTACACTCATCTCCCATATTTTTAAATATAATATCACATGTTGACCCATAAACTAAGAGCTCCAAAAATGGGAGGTTTGTTTAATTTTAGACAAAACATGAGCAGTAAGTATATGTAACCCTTAAAATATGTAGATAGAGCAATGGCTGGTACTAGTTATAGTGGACTAACTAAAAATTATAAATCATAGTAGAATTACATCCGGTATCAACATTAAGTCTATCCTCTTTTATAATAGTTATTGAGATTCTTACTAAAAATATCCTAAGTCAAATAAATTAGCATTTAATGTTAGTAGAAGATAACATGCTAATATTTGAGAGACCTGTTAAGATGGTGAAATAAACTTCAGAAGATCAAAACTTACAAAAAAGAAAAAACAAGAAAAAAAAAAAATATATATATATATATATATATATATATATATATATATATAAATAATATATTGTAGAACGAGCATTGGATTCAAATATTGTTAGAAGCTAAAGTGATACTTTATAATAATAGTTTTACGCAATTTGCATATATCATACAAAAGAATCAATAGATCAATGATCAATGATCGCTCATGTAGAATTGAGATTAGGTAGTTAAAATGTAGTAGTGCCTCCAAAAGTACCATATTATAAGATAATATCATGGATGCTTAAAAGTAAACTTTACTCATCTCAGTAGGGCGATAAAAAAAGTTGATGATCCAAGTTAAATGTGGAAAAATGAGAATATTAAGATAATTTTTTTGGTAAAACAAGCAAAAAATAGAGTGAAAAATAATTATACTCTAGAGAACAAAAATAATCCCTATTAAAAATAAGGTTGTAGAAAAAAAAGATTTAAGGTGATTTAGGTATGTGCAATAAAGCGTGGAAAATTTAACAATAAGTGGGTAGGTCAATTTTATATAAGGATTTAAAATAAAAAGGATAAACGAAAAATAGCATGGCTATATATATATATAATAGAGACATAGTTAATGATGCATCACAATTATCATTAGCATAAATGTTTTGAATTTAAGACAATTTCAAACAAGTTTACTTATATATAATAAGGACGTTATTTCTTCCATTTCTAGTAATATCATATTTTAAGTATTAATGTCCTGAGTTTATAAAAGGAGTGCTAATCTTGTATTAGGATATGATATGATAGATCAAACTATGTGATTCTCTCCTAATATTCTTCTATCCTTTAAATCTCAATTTTTCTCTAATCTCATTATCCTAATATCAAACCTCAATGATTAACTGATTATTCATCCCCATAAATGCTTAACTTGTAATATTGATGTAAAACGGCAACAGGAGTTGCTCCGAAGTAATAAAACAATTGCGTCCAATATAAAGTCTAATGTTTCACAATTATAGATTTATGAATCCTTAGTTATCAAATTGTTAGGTAAAAGTTATAAGCTTTAGAGGCTAAACAATTTAAAACAATAACAAATATAGAAAAAAACTAAATGTGCTTTAACAAAATCCACAGTTTAATGCTTAGAGAATTCACCTTGAGTTTCCCTTACTCAAACTCTTGAAATTGGGGTTTAGCGGAGAAAGGGTAGAAGCAACCCTAGTGATGCCACCACAAGGCAGGTGACGCATAAGGTATTGTCCGCCGAAGAAGTAGCCGGAGGGGAAGTTGATGGTCAGCCAACAATTTACCAATGTTTCGTTGGTCATTCCTCGTCAATCGCCTCGATGAGATGATAGAGTATGCGATTTACGTAGCTTTCCACTGAATCCTCGTATTCCCAGTCTGGATCAAAGAAAGGCAAGTTGTTGATTTCTCCTTGAGTGTTGTATATGAATCCGTGGTCGACCTCAGGGTCGGCCATGCACAAGGTGAATGATGCTTTGAGTACAGTAGGAGATGATTCTTCGCTGCCCTTGATAAGTCGTCGTGCAGGGAGGAGGATTCCCAAACAATTCTCAAATGAGGAGGGATTCGAATTTTGAATCCCTAAATTAATTTTGGTGGGAGGGAAATAGGGATTGAGAGTTTCCCAAAGTAGGTGTCCACCTTGGGAAACAAATTAAGGGAATAAGAGAGAGAGGGGGCAAGTGGAGAGAGGTAGTCAGCAGTCTCAAGAGGAAGGGAGGGGATTGTGGAGAAAAGATCAAGGGTTACTTATTTTGGGATTTGAAATTATGAAGGATTGAATTAAATCCAATCTAATTTAAAATTCTAATAGGGGTTATTTGAAAACTTTCCTAAAATAGGAATCCTCATTTAGTAAACAAATTCAAACCCAAATTAATTTGAAGTTTGAATTCAAATTTGTTACCCAAATTAAGAGTGCTAAAATAGGAAGGGTTTGAATGCAAGAGGAATTAGTGGAGCAAGGGGATTGGGGGGGGGGGGGGGGGGGGGGGGGGGGGGGGCGGAAGCTTGGAGTAGGGATTGATTAGATGGGTTTCCTTAAGTGCTCTCGTCTAAAATTAGGAGAAATTAATGGGTAAAATATTCCTCTTAATTTTCATTTAAAATTAGATCCACGAATTGAACACTTTCCTAATATAGATTATGTTGATTTAGGAAAGAATTCAAAATATGAATTTGAGGTCAGATAATGAATTGGATTTCCCTCTTAATCTTCATGCTCTACTTTGGAAAATAGCAAAAAAATCAATTTTGAATCCATGGGAGGGGAAGGCCGGCGGTGAGGGTTTGGGTTTTGGGTGGCTTTAGGCTAGAGAGGTAAAGGGTGTGGGTTAAGTGGAGTTGACTTGGTGTTTGGGGTGGAGAGATGATTGACCGGCGGCTTGGAATGGAGGGTGGGGTGAAGGCCGGTGGTGTGGGAGGGGAGGGAGCTAAGGTCGGCGGCTTGAAGAAGATAGAAGAAGGAGAAGACTAAAGGAAAATTGATAGAACCACGAACCCGGACTTCTTCTGTGGTTGGTGGGTGATCCGATTGTCCTTCTCCAAGGGACTTCACCAAAGATCTCTTCTAGAACTCTCACAACTCTTCAAAGAACACATGTGTAGAATTTTTTTTAATTATCATTTATCATCCCTCATAAGAGGGAAAAAAGCTATAAATAGGTCCTCATACAAGAACACAACAAAAGACCAAACTACCCCTTGGGGTTACATGCATCTAGTCCCTCAAGTGAGGGTAAAAATAGAATATGACACTAATAATAATAAAATTACAATACATCAATCAGAAACAAAAAGACGCGAGTGTAGCCATAGGTCTCTGATGTCTCCTCGCACTAAAATCTCCTATTGATGTCATCATCAAATATACACACAAGCCAACACGTATTGATCACAACCACTTCTTATGTATCATAGATCACTTCCTATTCTCATGACCGCTGGCAACCATCCAATCACATGCCTCTGTGATCCCACCACTTGGATCTGTAGCACCCGTTAGTTGTTCCTTGCACATCATCATGCAATGCACCGCCTTCGCTACGCCATATTGCATCTTCCTCGACTTTGTGGCACCCATTTAGTCTTTCCAAATAAATGTACAATCTTCACTCCCCTACACGTGTGTGAACTATTCCATGTCCACACACCACAAATCTTGGTGGATCCATCAAACAAACTCCACTCACTCCATTGCTTCAATGATTATTTATCTACCCTCTCCATCACGACTTAAGCACACCACATGAACATGATCCTACCACATGCAAATCCCATCACTAAACCTAGAGCCACTACATGAATCCATCATATAGTATCACACTACATGTGAAACCCAATGTCATAAGTGCTTTGTCACCAAATCCCCATTGCCCACTTATCACACTACCCTAGACTGCCACAAACCACCACATAACAACTTCTTGCCATTGCCCACCAAACACACTACCCTAGACCAACACAAACCACGGCGTAACAACTTCTTGCCAAACTTCATCACCGACTTATTACCCGCATCACCCTTGCTCGACCCTCTACCTCCCGTTTGTTCAAAATTCACATAATCTGAGTACATATTATGAAGTCATCTTCATCTCTCCATTAAGTGATCTGCCTTTGCCACTAGAAGACCTGCCTTATAGTAGCAATCAACTTTTGAACAATTGTTGATTCCCTTGGATAAACATTGCACGACCATCTTGTATACCTAAAAAATACTTTGTAATGCATCAATCAAAAAGAGAATTAACTACAATTTTCGGTCAGAAACAATTTCAAATGTAGCAAATCAACTATTTACCTTGATTTGAAATTTCCTTTGTGGAAAGGACATCACCGATTTTGAATTGTATTACAATCAACTTTTGAAGAACAAAATTAAGGAGAATAATCTCCACATAACAGATTGAAATGAATCCATCTTTAGCAGAAAAATTACACCGCTTCAAGATAGAGGTTTTTCAACCCCAAGAAAGTCGCCGCAATACAATCATCATTAGCATGTCCAAAATTTAAAACACATATTAAATACGATTTCTAGTATGTAATAAAGAATTGTTTCATTTCCTTCTAGTCATATCATATTTTTGGTAACTATTGTTTTCTTGAGTATATAAGATGAGTGCTAGTCTTATATTTAGAATATAATATGATGAATTAAAATATTTAATTTTCCCCACCAACTTCTCATGTTATCTGTTTCTCTCCCTCCCCTCTACTATTATTTTGTACTATTCAATTCTTCTATCTTGTTTCTCTCATACTCTTCTACTTATCTTTCTCTATTTCTCTCTTACTCGTCTCTCTCCCTCAAATTCTCAATTTCTCTCTTCTCTTTTCATCAGTTAATACATCAAAATCTCAGTTTCCCTCTTTGCTTTTCATCAGTTAACACCTCACATAGCACGCAACAATAACACATGGAGTAAGTAGATTCACAAACTGACCGCAAATAGTTGGGAGAAGGCCAATAATGATGATAAATGAGTGGAACCAAAAGGTTCATAGTGCCAGCTGATATGCAGCAAATATCTACTTGCCTGCATCTCAAGTTGCTTTTAGTGCATACCTAATATTATAGGGGTAGAGATATTACAACATTTTTAGTTGTCATATCCACAATAAACCTTTTTTTTTTCTAAACTCTTATGTTTACTGCTAATTTATCACTATTAAATCTATATTAAATGTTGTCTTTATTGAGATCTTGTTGTTTGCATCACTAACATTAGATTCTTTGTCTGTGTAATCAAATATTTACATGTTATTTATCTTTGAAAATACTCATTTTGAGTAAATGAGTATCTTTGGTGCTTTTTTAATCTGTTTGATTGGTTAATAAGTTTCTTTAGAGTTGATTATGACTATTTATTGTTGTAATAGTAAGGGTCCAACCAGACTAACACTGACGTTAGAGTGTATTTTTGGGTTTAATAATTCAGCAACTCGTAATAATTTGACTTATTTTTGTTGGAAGATTGGATGCGATGAATTATCACAATTTAACATAAATGCTTTAATTAACTTACCAGCATAAATGAGCAAAATTAATCAGCAGGTTTAGAATGTGTAAGATTTGGTCAGGTATTATTAACATTAATAGTTAATAGTCAGCAAGGAGCAATTTTGATACAGTTAATTTCATGCAAAAATGTGAAACAACTAGAATATGCTAATAACAAAATGATAATATCAACCATTAAATAACTAGAATGTGTCCTTAACAAATCAACCAAAAATAAGAAAAGAATTGCTATACTAACAGAAGAAAAAAATATCACAGATGTTTGAATACGTGCTACAATAAACACAAGCATAATAACATTGGAATTGGCTGCACAAAAATATTAAAACTATGAAAGAAAGAGTTCATTAAAAACTGTATTACAGAATTAGGAAAATTTAATAAGGACTGGCATCTTTCGGTCCTATCTCAGAGCATATTTAAATTATTCATTTTTAACAAGCAAACTTATATCCGAACCAGTTGGGTCCAGGTACCAAATAGGCAAGTCCAAGCTACTTTCATTTAGATCTATTTCACGGCCTACTCATTAAAAATAAGGGCTGATAGACTTCTCCTGATAGGTTATTTTAAAAAAACAATGAGTCATAATTTTTTTAAAAAAATCAAAAAATTATGCTTTGGCACTTAACTAGAGCAGATTATATTTTCTATATATAAATATGGAAGCATGCACCTAGAACTTTTGAATTGATAATGACGGGTATGTTTGTTGTTTCAACTTGCTAATGCTAGGATCAATGGTGTGGGAAAATTTAATGGAGAACTTAAATCAATCAGTGAGGTATTTACCTCAATCAAGAAGATCAACCAAAGTTTTCCTTCGAGGAAACCTTTGGGGTAGCCTAAGGTACATGGCATCTTCAATCTCAATAGGCAAATGAGTTGTTACAAAAACTATTCCACCTTCTTTACGATGCTTCGCTATTATGTATTCCAATAGTTGGACCCCTTCTGCATCCAGAGCGACTGAAGGCTCATCCATTAACCAGATTGGTCTGCCAATAGCTAGCAATCTAGCCAGCTGCAACCGCTTTCGCTGGCCCATAGAAAGCATCCTTGGTTTCTCATTAGCTAGTCTGCCAAGTCCCATCAGCTCAAGAGCTGGAAGAGATGCATTCCCATCTTTGCCTTCAAGTACTTCATACCACTGAACATTTTCCAAAACTGTAAACTTACTTTTAATAGCATCCTTGAGGGAAAGCCAGTTGAGTTGGAGCTTGTACTGCTGGTAGACTCCAGGAGAAGTGACGTCATGGCCATTCCAGAGGATCTCTCCAGCAGAGGGGCGGGAGAAACCAGCTAGCATTCTAAGGAAGGTAGTCTTTCCAGAGCCATTAGCACCTGTCAACACCAATGCAGAGCCATCATGGACCGAAACATTAATATTCCGGAGGACAGTCTGAGCATTACGCATGCATGACACATTGTTAACAAGGATGCGCGGCAGTGGAGGCCTGCGAATGTGCATTTAGGGTAACAAAAAAGCTGTTTCTCCACAGAATCTAGCCTGTTTTTCCAAAAGAAATGCAGCATCAGAAGATGAAAATAAAATGCCATGACAAGAATTATGCTTTAACATTTCTCAACTAGCATGTCCATAAGACATATGGAATCCGAATGGAAAACCTGCTCATTGATAACTAATGGATCTTAGCCAATGATACACAGACCCGTTTCCAATAAAACAGGCATAGTTTCTGCCAAGAATGTTCTTTTTTGCTTGGTTCCTTGGATAAATGAGCATCTTATTTCGACAAGCAAACACATGGATCAGTACTGAAACAACTAATGAGCTGTAGCGACAATCCACCGACATGAATGATACTAAACACAATGCATCAAGGGTATGCTCTACTGTTCATTTTGCTTTCTTCGCTCGTGATCTCTCTATGGAGCATTTAATCAAACAGGTACAAGGTCTCAGTCATTTTAGATCACTTGACAATAAAAAGGGGAAATAAATGGAATTTTAAGAAATAAAAAACGGTCAAGGGTATGTTCGACTGTTCAATTCCGTTGTGCACCCGGAATCACTCTATGAAACATTTCATCAACCAGGTACCAGGCATCAGCACCACTCATTTCGGATCACTTAGAGACATAAGGGTAAACAAAACGGGTCTTGTGAAAGAATATCTACTGGTTCCAAAAGGAAGGAATTTGCAATCTTATAGGCGAATTCGAAGTTTTAGAGAGAAGGAGAAACAAAAAATGATGTGCACCTGTGAAGGCAGTATCCAACAAAGAAGACGGTAGTGCCACGAGGAGTTGAAGGCTGTGATAATATTGTTTCAACAACAATGCGTGAAAAAAGATATTCAAACGAGTGGCCGGTGACGGTGGGAGGCTCAGGCGAGCTTGTCCGGAGGGAAAACTCCAGTGAAGATTGAGCCGCGGTATAAAATCAGCTACTTTCTATTTTTTTGCACATATAAATTTAACGTTTCTTTAAAAAACTAGATTTTTAGGTACCCATAAATTTAATGTTTTATAAACCCGTGTACCCTATGCGGAGAAATTAGGATTTCCTCATAATTTATGCTCAATATGTTGCGGATTAGAATATAGGTGGCGGTAGAGTTAGAAAGTATTCTTCTTAGTATTGTACGGATATTCAACACATAAATATGAGGTAAAACAACACCAGAATTTTTACGTGAAAAATCCTGAAAAAGGAAAAACCACGGGACCAAGCCAGTTGAAAGATTTCTACTAGTGTTTGCTTGAAATACAAGAGGTTGACTCGTCCATAACAGTTATGACGATCATATTACAATAGATCGCTTCTGGATTGAAATCAATATACAATGTCGGGCAGAGTTCCAGCGTCGTTTAGAAGTTGGGCAGAATTCTGACGTCTTTTGGTCGTTGGGCAGAACTCCGACGTTACTTCGGCATCGGGTAGAACTCCGACATCACATCGGCGTCGGGCAGAACTCCGACGGTGGTCGAGGAGGAGTTATTCCCTCCTATCATTCTCTTCTCTTCTTCTAGCTTGGGTCCCTTCTCATGAGAAATGAGGGGTCTATTTATAGATTTCATGGAGTTACATAGCTTGTAAATATGTGTGAGATCATGGGCAAATAGTGAGTGGTCAAATGGACGGCTGATATTGAATCCCTTGATCGTACACTGTTTATCAGACATTTGAAGGTCTTAATGATGTCGGAATTTGGCAATCTTAGGCTCGTTGGATTTGTCTCGTCGAGCCGCTCGATTCGACTATAAGCTTATCAAATTTGGAAACTTTTGGTAACTGAAATTGTGATACAAACTTTCCAACAACGCTTCAGGTCCTTGATTTAGACTTATTTGGGCTCAGATTGTAAAACCCCTTAGATTTTTTTTTTTGTGCTGTTAGTCTGTACGAATTGACTTTAATACAGACGAACAGTTAAAATTTATTCAGTTAGTACGTACGAATTGCCTGTACGAACTGAGTAAAGTGCTGGTTCGTCCGTACGAACCTGAATTCGTCCGGGACGAATAGAATAAAATTTTTGCCTGAGATCATCATCCATGGACAAAATAAATTATCGTTTGTACGCTCGTGTTCAGAGAGCTTCGTCCCAGGACGAATGGAAAACATTATCTAGACGATCGAGTTCATTAAATAGACGATTTGAGATATTTTTGAAGAGATAGAAAGCTGGAGAGAGAAAGATAAGGAAAGAGAAGAGGAAAGCTTGGTTTCGGAGACCGCAGAGCAATTTTTGTCCGTCGACGCAGTTGGAAGAATTGTTCGACTCGCAATAACGAATCTGAATCCTATTTCTGATTTCAAAGATTTCGTGTTTTGGTATTTCTCTGTTCAGTTTTGTGTTTTCGTTACCGAAAAACGTGCATAACTTTGTATTGACGAAATTTTCACCGCGTAACTTTTGGTATGTTTTTTAGATTATGATTTTACATGTTTTGAATATTTTCTAGAGATTTTTCACCGGGTATTTTGAATTCTATGAGATTTTTATCGAATAGAAAATTATCATAATGTTGAAAAATATTGCTTCAGTACAAGTAAAGTTTTGAAACGTTGTTTTACACCATTTCTAATAATTTGATAATTTTTTTGAAACTGTTCATTTTACAACGACTTCTGTCTACTATACAATATTTTAAGGGGTTTTCTAAATTAAGCTAAATCATATTTTTTGGTTACAATGTATTGATGAGATGCTGATGAATATGGTTATATGATTGAAATTATTGTTATATCACTGTGATACTGATACTGATACAATACTGAAAAACACCTTAATAGCCAGTGCTTCTACTTGCTCTGTATGACTACTATAATGAATTGCATGTTTAGCAGTATTTGTCACGACCCAACCCGACCGGGACGGATCCCGCTCGCATCGGCCGCGACGGAGCCAACAAATCTAGGATCTGACTTTGGAATTTGCTTCAGAACTTTTTTCCAAATATAACACAGATAAAAAAACACATAGCTACTATAAACATCCTAACACAGCGTAGTTCATCTATCTTTTCTTTCATCAAAATAATCATATACTGATACAGTGCATGGCTTCAGACAGAAAGAACAGAACAGAACAGAAAATCCATGACTGTACAAAAATCAAAAGTATCAAGTACCTAATCACAGATCAGACTCAGAAAGTCTAGTCCAAGACCTCCTTCCCTTTCCCAGAACCTGAAGACCACGCAGAAAACAAGGATGAGCTAACAGCTCAGCAAGACATCAATCACCAATCAAAATCATCAGAAACTCACATAAAAAAGTATCCGTACAGAAATCGAACAATCGTACAGAAATCGTATAACAGACAGAACAGATAATAGTCAATCAGAAATCAAACATCGGATACGAAACACTGAAGTCATATCAAATCGGATATCATAAAGCTTTCATGTCACAGAGCAGATAGAATCATACGAAATAATTAGAGTCGTATAGAAATCAGGTACGTAAAATCACATTTCAACTTTACAGAACAGATAATGTCAGAACAGAACTTTCTTCCAGATGTCAGAACTTCCCCGCTTTCCCTTATGGCTCCCTTTTGTGCTTATAGCATCAGAACTTCTCCTTATAGCTCCATTTTGTGCTTATAGCACTAGAACAGAACAGATATACAGAATTCAAATTTTAGAACTTCCCCTTATGTCTCCCTTCCCGGACCCAGACAATGGAATCACAAAGGATTCCGTCCCCTTATAACTCCCTTCTGATAGCATACAAATAATCAATTCATTCAAATCATCTCATTTCAGAATTTCAGAAATCGTACGAAAATTCAGCGGCATAACGGTAGTATACGGAATTTACACAAAATTCACAGATCCATAAATTTACCAAATTATCACAGAACATTCACAACAACATTATAAGACTTTCATTGTACTGACAAAATATTTTTCAACATCCTGATAATTTGCAGTTTAATTAAAACACCACAGAATTCAAAATATCCGGTACAAATCTTCTAGAAAATACTCAAAACGTGCATAATTATCATAATCATAGACATACCAAAAGTTACGCGGTAAAACATTTGTCAGAAAGAAAATAATATCAGAAATTCGCTAACGGAAACAAAATCTGGAACAGAAAATGCGTCAAAAATCTCGTTTCTGAAAATTGAGAAAGGCGGAATGTGCCTTACCTCGAGTCGGTCAACTTCTCTAACTACCACAACGGACGAAAACAGACCGAAGTCGCTCAAAAATCCTCTTTTCCTTCATTTTTCTCTCTCCTGAACGTCCGTTTTCTTTCCAAAATATCTCGTTTCTATATATATCAAGACTGATCGTACCGGACGATCGCAACTTCATCCCGGACGATCTATGATCTGGACGAATTTCGTCCATATGAAATTAATTATCGTCACGGATGACTTGGGATCTGGACAAATTTCATCCAGACAAAATTAATTATCGTCCCGTACGATTTGCTCTCGGTAAGAATTTTGTCTAGATGATCCTATTTTCGTCCAGACAAACCATACAGCCAGAACTGTTTTCCTGCACAACCTGTACCGATCGTCCCGGACGATCGAACTTCGTCCGGACGAACCTGAGAGCAAAATTTTCTTTACAGTATTGTTACTGCTACTATATGGATTTACTAATACTGACGGATTTACTGATACTGAACGGATTTAAAATTAATGTATGATTTTATAGATATTGTACGGATTTACTGTTACTGCACGATTTCATGATTATAGCATTACTATTCATGTCACTGGATTGTTACTGATACTGATACAGACACTGACACTACTGATTCACTGTGCTGGCATTATGCATGTGATACTAAGAAAGTGATATGTGATTCACTGAACATATGATATAGATTATTGGATTGCATGTGATTCGTTGAGCACGTGATATTGAATAACTGGAATTATAAGTGTACATTTTGATACAATTTTAATGCATTTGTTTGACTTCAACAATCACGAATGATAGTATTGATTTGACATTTTATACTGACTGATATTATTGAACCGATGAATTCTCTTTATACGATTGATATTATTGACACTATGATTTATTAATTGATTTGATTGATACTACCGATACGAATATTTATTTAATGATTTGACTTAAGTTTTAGATACAATGGTTTGTCTACTGAATTGACTGGTGTTATATATATGACGACTACTGTAGATATTTGACACATGTACTATTTCATTGAGCTTTACAAACTTTTATACTGTTTATTGATTCTTCTACTGATGATTATGGATTCACATATTTCTGTATTGACTATCGTTTCTGTATTGATTACTGTTTTTGTAATTATTCCTATTTCTGCATTGACTCAATGATCATGTGTAAGTGACTGATATGATTTAACTGATTGACATGCATATTGCTTCCATATCATGCTTTGATTTCAGTTGTAGGTATTTGGTGACCTGTTGAGCTTTTTAAGCTCATTATATGTGGTTAATGATTTTAGGTCAGGGTAAGGGAGCAGGAGATTAAGGTTGATAAGGAATCTTCAGATTTTTTTTCCTTTTTGTTATAGTTATTCTTTTGTACTCATGACTGGATGGATTTGTGATCATTGTTGAAGATCCTGAGTATTGTAAATGACTTTTGGAAAATGAAAATATAAGATTTACTTGATATTTTAAATTATAGATTTTGTTAGACTTTTTAATACTGATTGATGACTATAGATAGCTCTGGTAGAATATTGATTTAAATGATCGAATGAATAATTCTTCCAAGTTATATCTTGGGGCATGACACGGATTGAGTCGAATTTTGGTGTCGTTGGGTTCGTATTTCCGGGACGCTCAATTTGACTGTAAGTTTGCTGAAATCAGAGTTCAGGTGATCTCGAATTTAATTTTTGAAGTTTTTGAGTTGATTAAATAAAATGAATTAAATAAAAAAATATTAATTAAATATACCCGAAGCGGGTCGGGTCGGGTTGACCCGGACCCGAAGAGGGTCGGATTCGGGTTCGGAAAACCGACCCGTTTGCAAAAATGGGTCGAGTCGGGTCGGGTTGAACAGTGTCGGGTCAATTTCGGGTTGGACCCGAACCCGACCCGTGACCCGTTTTTGACAAGTCTAACTATAATGAATTGCATGTTTAGCAGTATTGTTACTGCTACTGTATGGATTTACTAATACTGACGGATTTATTGATACTAAACGGATTTAAAATTAATGTACGATTTTATAGATATTGTACGGATTTACTGTTACTGCACGATTTCATGATTATAGCATTACTGTTCATGTCACTGGATTGTTACTGATACTGATACAGACACTAACACTACTAATTCACTGTGCTGACATTATGCATGTGATACTAAGGAAGTGATATGTGATTCACTGAACATGTGATATAGATTACTGGATTGCATGTGATTCGTTGAGCATATGATATTGAATAACTGGAATTATAAGTGTACATTTTGATACAGTTTTAATACATTTGTTTGACTTCAACAATCACGAATGATAGTATTGATTTGATATTTTATAATGACTGATATTATTGAACCGATGAATTCTCTTTATACGATTGATATTATTGACACTATGATTTATTGATTGATTTGATTGATAGTACTGATACGAAGATTTATTTAATGATTTGACTTAAGTTTTAGATACAATGATTTGTCTACTGAATTGACTGGTGTTATATATATGACGACTACTATAGATATTTGACACATGTACTATTTCATTGAGCTTTACGAACTTTTGTACTGTTTATTGATTCTTCTACTGATGATTATGGTTTCACATATTTCTATATTGACTATCGTTTTTGTATTGATTAATGTTTTTGTAATGATTCCTATTTTGCATTGACTCAATGATCATGTGTAAGTGACTGATATGATTTAACTGATTGACATGCATATTGCTTCCATATTGTGCTTTGATTTCAGTTGTAGGTATTTGGTGACATGCTAAGCTTTTTAAGTTCATTATATGTGGTTAATGATTTCAGGTCAGGGTAAGGGGGAGGAGATTAAGGTTGATAAGGAATCTTCAGATTTTTGTTCCTTTTTGTTATAGTTATTCTTTTGTACTCATGACTGGATGGATTTGTGATTATTGTTGAAGATCCTGAGTATTGTAAATGACTTTTGGAAAATGAAAATATAAGATTTACTTGATATTTTAAATTATAGATTTTGTTAGACTTTTTAATACTGATTGATGACTATAGATAGCTCTGGTAGAATATTGATTTAAATGATCGAATGAATAATTCTTCCAAGTTATATCTTGGGGCATGACACGGATTGAGTCGAATTTTGGTGTCGTTGGGTTCGTATTTCTGGGACGCTCAGTTTGACTGTAAGTTTGCTGAAATCAGAGTTCAGGTGATCCCGAATTTAATTTTTGAAGTTTCTGAGTTGATTTTGCCTCCAGATTCGTGGCCGATCAAGATAATTTTTTGAAGATATACCACCATATACATTTCCGAAAATTATTTTACAAAAAAAATACATTGGATTCAAATTGATTTGTGGCGATACCTTTACCTATACCAGCATGTAAGCTCTATGAGTATTACATGAGAGCCTATGAGATTGGAAAGAGAGATAAAATGCAACACATTAGCATAAATATATGTAATACAAGTGTCAATGAGTGTCAATGGATGTCAAAAGATTCAAAATATTCATCTTTAAGCTTTATTTTATAGGTATTTGATGGATGTTTCAAATAAAATAGAAATAAAAATACATAATGACTTTTAAGCACATGTCACACTTTGATTGGTTAGAGAGGAGATTGCTTTCCATTACCTTAATTATCTACCTCTGGTTGAGTTCAATAGTACCAAGTATATGTGGGTAAATTGTCATATATGATTTTGTTAGTGAGTCCTGAATAGAGATCTATAATTGTTGAGTGTTTTGGAGTCATTGGTGACCCGTGTTAGAGCTTTAGATTGCCAAGGAATAAAAGGAGAGTAAGCTTAAGTTGTAGGAAAAATGGGCTTCATGATTACTTAGATGTGAAAGGGCGAGTTTGTCACGACCCGACCCGACGGGGACGGATCCCGCCCGAGCCGGACCGCGACAAAACCTTCTTATCCAGGATCTGGCTTTGGAATTTGGTTACTGAACTGAATCTTCAAAATTAATCAACTCAACAGACACACAAACACAGAGCCACTATTTATCATCAATCACAGCGGAACAAAACATCTATAGTTTCATTTTCCTCTTGAGTAGGCACTTTATCTTAGCTAAGGCGACAAGTTTCATTGATGACACTTTGCCATGGGTGAGGCCGAATAGCCTTGATGGCTAATCCCCCTAGAAGGCGAGTGGCGAATTAAGCAATTTGCAATGACCCTTAACTTTCTTTGTGAGGGATGACTTCTCTCTAGTGCTTAGATAAATGAAGTCTCAACAAATATTGGTTGTATATATTCTTGTTCATATTATTTGAATTTATAGCTTATATTGGTTTGTTAAATTGTACAAAAAAAAAAAAAACTTAATATACGTGTTAACAATAACTTCAAGGGATTTTGATTTGTTAATATTCTTCATTTCATTCTTTATTTGAATCCCAATGTAATTTGTTTGTGGTTTTGCTTCCCAGTAGATCAAATCACCTGTATTTGACAATCCTACCAGTAGAGCCACATCATCTGCTGAAAATTTAAGCTCATGGTCTTTGATGTCGAATGATTGCTTGCTCACATCCCAGCATGGCAATAGCATGTAGATCAATGGTGTGTTCTGTTGAAATGGAACTCAGTAAATTACAATCTATTCAACTTCTTCAATGTGTCATTAACTTCATAAGTTAAAAAATCTTTTATACTTTGGCTGACATTTATGAATGTTGATAGTCTGCAACAGAATGTAACCTTTGGGATATACATTTGAAAAAAGAAAATATTTATAGCATCAAGAAAAAATATAACACCTGTACACAGTGTGTACAATATCTTGTCATATAGAAAATTTGTAAACAATGTTCAAAGCATTGTACATACTATGTACAAAGAGTTTGTTTGCAATGTAAAAACTGAAAGATTTTTTATCATCAAGTAAAACATGTATATAATGTACAATGTACACATAGTGTACAATCTGTATACAGTGTGTACAACTTGTACATAGTCCGTACAATATAGAAAATATGATTTTGAAAACAATTTTGCGTACAAATTGTATAAAAGAATTATAGAATTTTATATAAAACATGTTGAAAAAGAGAAAATTTATATATAAAAGATTAAAAATATACAAGTGTACAAAATGACTAAAAACATGTACAAAATGAACAAATGAATCATGTGTAATATTGCGTACAAATTGACAATATATTTTTTATGTTCACTCACACATCATTATTTTGCAAGAGAACATAATATGACATAAGCCAATTTAACTCTAAATAATGTAAAATTTTCTTGTCAATTCTTAAGTTGTTTCCAATCAACATTTTCATGCTTGACAAGCTCTTCTACATACTTGCATACAATGTGTTCAAGGCATTGTACATACTCTGTACATGTGTCTATTTGCTATTTGCAATGTTAAAGCTGTCTTTAATTCTATTATAAGTTCCTAAAATATTTAGTAATAAACTCCATGTCGAGAATTCCGCACATAACTCTGCAAAAAATATTCTCATAATAGGGAGCTTGCCCTAAGCAGGAATTATTAAGGAGGATGGATTGAGCTTACCTTATTGAATAAAAAGAATGGTTTTGAACAACAAAACTTATTCGTTCTTCGAGATTCAACATGAGCTTCGGGAAAACCTTCGAAGAGCAAAAACCCTAATTTTTTTTTCCGCGCGATTTCTGAATGACAACGACGATTTGTTTTTTTTTTCCAAAATATTTACTGCAGTATCGGGCCAAGTTTTTGGGTTGTGCAGTTGTAAAAATATTGACTTCTTGGGTCGGATTTTCGGGTTGTGCTGTTAGTCCACGTGAATGAATTTTAATTTATGTGTCTATCGTTGATTAGAGTTCAGATGTAACTTTACGTCCGGACTCCGCACCGAATAATTTCGCCTAGGACACACCTTGCTTCTTCTTTCCGATTCGTTCTCCTGCAAAATTTAATTGATTTTTTAATTATAAAATCAAAATTGTTTTTTAATCTTGATAAAATTTTGATTGATTTTTTAATTATAAATTTAAACATATAATGACATAATTATCAAAAATAGCGATTATTTAAAATAAAAAAACCGATTAATATGAACGGGCACCTATAGTGCCGTGCTCCGCTAGGATATCTTAATTCTAGATGCTTCGCCATCGCCATCTCCATCTCCATCTAGGCAACTGACGATTTCCTACCGTGAACGTCACGCCAGAATCCCGTCACCTTACGCAAAGGATTACCTCGGCGTGCCCTCGTTGATTCCTTATGTCTCGCGGCCTATAAAAAAACACGATTACGTGGCATTTTTCGATACGCTTGAAGCTAGTGGAGGTAACCACACGGAGGGGTTATCGTAAACTTCTAAATCCAGCCATCGAATGCTATAAAAGGCGCCCCATCCCAATGTTTAATTTCAATCAAGTATACGTCGTTTAAGAAACGTAGACGGCTCCTAATCTTTCGTAAAGGTATGCTTTGTTTTTTTTCTCTCTTTGGGTTAGGGTTAGGGTTAGGGTTAGGGTTTGGGTCCTTCGGGACGCGTAGAACTGTTTCTCTGATTTCTACGGGTTTATAATAATCTTGATCATCATTGATTGAGAGTGTGTATGTGGTTCCTTACGTCGTTGATTGCTTGGTCAGGAATTTTAGCTTTCCGGTTATGGGTTCTTTCTTAGTTTCCCCTTGTTTTAATATCAGTTTTTGCCTTAGACTTTGTCATCTAAGGACGATCTGTCTTTTTGAATCTTACCAAGGAGATGATCGATTAACCAATTTTTTTAAGAGGGTTTTAAATTTTATTTATCTAATATTGTTGAGGCTCTGTTTCCTTGTAGCAGATGCAGATCTTTGTCAAAACCCTCACCGGCAAGACCATCACACTTGAAGTGGAGAGCTCCGACACCATCGATAATGTGAAAGCTAAGATCCAGGATAAGGAGGGCATCCCCCCGGATCAGCAGAGGCTGATCTTTGCTGGAAAGCAGTTGGAGGACGGCCGCACCCTTGCCGACTACAACATCCAGAAGGAATCTACCCTTCACCTTGTGCTTCGTCTTAGGGGAGGGATGCAGATTTTCGTCAAGACCCTCACAGGCAAGACCATCACCCTTGAGGTGGAGAGCTCCGACACAATCGATAACGTGAAGGCTAAGATCCAGGATAAGGAGGGCATTCCCCCGGACCAGCAGAGGTTGATCTTCGCTGGCAAGCAGCTTGAGGATGGCCGCACCCTTGCTGACTACAACATCCAAAAGGAGTCTACCCTTCACCTTGTGCTCCGCCTTAGGGGAGGGATGCAGATTTTTGTCAAGACCCTTACTGGAAAGACCATCACCCTTGAGGTGGAGAGCTCTGATACCATCGACAACGTGAAGGCTAAGATCCAGGATAAGGAGGGAATTCCCCCGGACCAGCAGAGGTTGATCTTCGCTGGCAAGCAGCTCGAGGATGGCCGCACTCTTGCAGACTATAACATCCAAAAGGAGTCCACCCTCCATCTTGTTCTCCGCCTTAGGGGAGGGATGCAGATATTTGTCAAGACCCTCACTGGAAAGACAATCACCCTTGAGGTGGAGAGCTCGGACACCATCGACAATGTAAAGGCTAAGATACAGGACAAGGAGGGCATCCCCCCGGACCAGCAAAGACTCATCTTTGCTGGCAAGCAGCTCGAGGATGGCCGCACCCTTGCTGACTATAACATTCAAAAGGAATCCACCCTCCATCTTGTGCTTCGTCTTAGGGGTGGTATGCAGATCTTTGTCAAGACCCTCACTGGAAAAACCATCACCCTTGAGGTGGAGAGCTCTGATACCATTGACAATGTGAAGGCCAAAATCCAGGACAAGGAGGGCATCCCTCCCGACCAGCAAAGGTTGATATTTGCCGGCAAGCAGCTGGAGGACGGCCGTACCCTGGCAGACTACAACATTCAAAAGGAATCGACCCTTCACCTAGTACTTAGACTTCGTGGTGGTATGCAAATATTTGTGAAGACGCTTACTGGAAAGACCATCACCTTAGAAGTAGAGAGCTCGGACACCATCGATAATGTCAAGGCAAAGATCCAGGACAAGGAGGGGATCCCGCCAGATCAGCAGAGGCTAATCTTCGCTGGAAAACAGCTTGAGGATGGTCGCACCCTTGCAGATTACAATATTCAGAAGGAATCCACCCTCCATCTTGTACTCCGTCTCCGTGGTGGGCAGTAACTTGCAACCCTTGGCATCTATAATCAATGTCATATTGCTACTGCTTAAATATCCCGCTTTAGGTCGTTGTTCTAAAGAATTGTGTTGCCTTTACGCTCTTTTATGTTTATCTTCTGTGTTTCTAATGTTTTCTGTGTTCATGACATTGAAGGTTGGCATCTTATAAATAAATTCACCGTGTTTTAGTTCATTTTTCTGCTTATATTGGTTTGTTTCATTTGTGATGTGCTAAGTGCGGTGGTATAAAGCTTATGCCATAGTTTGAATTTAAATCGGTAATCATACTACCTGGACTTTTGGTTCAGATTATGATATTTTGAAGTAAATTAATTGGTTTGAAAGCTTACTTTCTTTGTTTGCTTGTCTCTATTTCATTGAGAAGAATAATTTCTAATAATTTTGTAAGATTTGCTTTTGAATTCCAGAAATGATAGATGAATAGTTCAACTAACTGTGCAATGTGCGGTCTCTTGCTGATGGAGAGCCGTGAGTTTGGAGTAATTTTGTGCTAATTTGCTAGTTGTAATCTTTGTGCTTTGATTCCACCCAAGAGGACTACGTAGGTTGTGGATCCTGCATCGGAGAATAATCTACAAGAGTTAGGAATATTGATCTGTTTGGTTTTTGAAGATAGTGAAATAAATAAAAAAGAGAATGAATTATTATGTTAAAAGAATGATTGATATCAATTGAAGGGAATAGAAGATGGTTTTGAAATTTTGGAACATGAAATGATTTGTAGATGATTTGAGGATAATAATTGTAGCGCCTCTGATGTTCATTCATTCATCAGTCAACTGGTATAAATGGAAGATGGGTATTTGTTAAGCTTGGGATAAGCCTAATGATGATCATGCTTATTATATTTCATTATTATCATACAGGTCCATGTACCACTCAGTGCATCCAAAGATTTGAAGGATTTGTGAATATTGTTCTTGGGTTCATTTTCTCTAATTGCAGTAAGAGGGTTGAGGATTAAAATAGATTTATGCAAATCTGGGATGATTTTTCTTTCTATTCTTTAAATGACGAGCAATAAAATTGTCATGCGGTGGTAACATTTTATATAATATTTGAATAGCAACAAAACTAATTAGTTGATCTGACTTTTATGTCTTTACTAATGATTTAAAATGTTTCTTAGTGATCAATATTTGTTGAATGACATAACATCTCTAGTAATTTTCAACTTCTTTCGTAGACTGAATGTGGTTATAGGTTCTTTTTTTTAGTTGTTGACCTTTTGGAAATACTTTAACGAACCGGCCTTAATTTTCAGGGGTGGGAGCAAACTTATAAGTAAATGTGTAGAAATTTGTTTTTTCATAAATATCTTTACAATCAAAATTTGTTCCAAGGGTGCTGCCCCACGACTCCTATTTGCTCATATCTTTGATCATTGTATGGGGAGGGTTTGACGTTTTTTGGATTCTCTTTATTATTCCTCTTTGTATTTGGTTCATTGTTCCCTAGCAATAATATCTCTACATAATGTGTTTAATTATGTTAGGAAAATTGCCTAAAGATCATAGTATTTTAAAACTTTTGCCTAAAGATTCTTATTATAAAGATTAAAAAATAGATGAAGAACAACAAATTACCTAAAGAATGATATAGTAATTTCTTTTTTAAAATTTTTGAGGGCTTATAGAGTTATAATGGATCCGCCTCAGGCTCTTTTATATTTTTCTTGTATGTTAGTGTTCGACAATATTGTTATAACCAAAATCTTTAGATATGTGTATGATATAGTGTTGCTGCTTATTGTTTTAAGCACTTGTACCAGAGAAAAATTGAAAATTTTCTCATTTAGTTGAAGTTGATAGTAGGTAATATGATTGGTTAAGTTTAGTGGTGGAGAAATAGCTATTATGATGAATAAAGCATGTTCAAAATATGTTTAAGATGGAATATTAGTTACTAGAAAACTAGAAATGAGAAATCTTATAAGAGTGTGGTAAGTAGAATTTTTAATCTCTGGATGATTTTCATAATATGTGGTACGAAGGAGAAAATAAGATTTATAGAATTGTTATAGTAAGTGATAAGATATCTAGAGATTTTTATTAGATTAAAAGTTGACATAAATATGTAAGTGTTAGTTTAAGAATTTTTTTTACATGGCCTTGGGGAAGAAATATTTGGAAGAGCAAATTGAATCATATTGTGAAAGCAGATAAAGATTATTCCAAAAATGGGAATAAGAGTTAGTTTTGAAAAATATGCCCAAAGATAAGAGGCTTCTGGTTTAGATATGGTATATATTAAGATGTGTTATGTTATGAGAAATAATGCGACAATTTGGTTAAAGATCTGTTTAAGTATTCAAAATGAGTTTTCTTAGTGTACGACTTTTGTACATGATATAGTTCTAATTTGGGAGACATTATTTTAAAAAAAAGGCGAAAAATTAGCCAAATTGCGGAAATGTTTAAGAATATATGACTTAGAATCTATGTAATTCTAGCGAATTGAATATTAACAATTATTATTGAATATTTTTAGAAGTTGATGAGATACTAAGTGTCTTAGATTTATTTTGCTTAAAAAAATTATGAAATTGGATATTATTTTTAAAGTTAAAATTTGGTTATGGGAATGTAGATAGCTTATTTAAAGATTAGTTGAATTTATTCATTGATCTGATTTTTATGTTCTTCCAAAAGATTTAAAATTTCTTTGCTGAAAATAGTGGTCGATTACATAACATTCTGCTTCATAGTATTTTTTTAACTATTAGTTTTGTGGAATATAGATGGTTTACTAATATCGTTTTTAGCTGTTGGTCTAATGAATTATCTTTAGCCCATTTGACAAAAGTTTTCTCTGTGACGTCAATGTTCTTTCTGTTCATTTATGTTTTTCTCCTTCTATAAGCCAATGTATCACTGGGTGCATTTTTTAAGCCGTGCAGTATTTGCAAATAATTTCAAGCATGCAATTAATAGGATTCAAATTACACTTTGTATTAGTTTTCAGGTGCAAACTTTTTAGTTTTGACGTTAGATTTACAACGTACTATCAGTAAAATGGAAACACTCAAAAGATTATTATTATTTAGGATAAGATAGCGAAATTTAGTAGGTGTGGAATTTGCCATTCTTTCAAGATAAGTTGCTGATGGAGATAAAGTGGAATTTTTTAGTTGAGCCAGAGGTTATATCACTTATATGAGCTAAGATTGTTGGTTAAACTTGGTGGTGGAGTGAGGATATATCAAGGGTTATTAAGATAAACAATACCTTTAAAATGTGATGAAAGTTGAATGGATTTGAGGCTCATAGTAATTATTAGAATTCTAAAAAATTGAGTTTGGTAAGTAAAGCAAAATTCATAGCTTCAGTTGATTTGTATGATAAATTTGGTACAAATGATGAATGATGGAGAAAAAGAAGTTTTATAAAATTGCTGAGGCAAATGATAAGAAATCTTAAGATTTTGATTTTTTTATTTAGTTTCATTAGAAGGACAAAATGAGATTGGTTTAAAATGAAGGATAGATATGGACATGCTAGTTTGAGAAATTTCTAAAATGCAACATTTCAGGATGAAATAACCTTGGAATTGTTAGTTCCAAGTCTTGGATGAGAAAAGTGGAGGGTTACGCTAGGTAGTCGACTGTCAGCGTAAAACTTGTCGAATAATCTTGACATCCCCCATATAGTGGGAGAAATGCTTGATGTTGTTGTTGTAGCATGATGAAAAATATAATGATGTATATGAAACATTATTCTAAAAATGTGAATTGAGGTTAGCTTTGAAAGACAAGCTTTGAGGTAAGGCTTTTGGTCTAAAATGTGGTATCTATTGAGATTTGATAAGTTATGAGGGATATTATAGTGTGATTTGGTTGATAAAATTTTTAATATAATTTAAAAAATTACAAATTAACAAAATGTCCAATGATTGGAGAAGAAATATTTTATTACCAATATTTAATAGTAAAGTTGATATTGAAGATTGTGCTAACTATGAAGAAATCAAATTTATGAGCGCTATTATGAAAGCTAGGGAAATATTAATGATATATAGGCTTAAAAATATTATAACAAATTAATAAGGATATATATTATGGAGCATTGATTTGTATGCTTATGTTTATAATTAGTTAAGTTTTTTTCAAAGATTAATACTGAGTTTATCTTTTCATATTGATTATGAAAATGTTGACAAATGATATTCTGAATGTGCTATGCTGTTGTGCAATTTTTGTAGTTGATATAATTCTAATTGATGAGATATCACTAAAATAAATAACAAATTAGAGCAATTAATGAATTATTTAGAATTTAGAGGACTTTGAATTGGTATAATAAAGATTGATAATATATTGTATAATTTTAGTAAACATGATATTCTCAATTATTATTCCGTATTGTTGGAAGACATCTAGGTATGATTGATTTAACTATCTTGGATCTATTATTATAGAAAAATAAAGTTATAGATGAGGATATAATTTCTTGTTTTATGGTTTGGATGTTTAAAATGTTGACACATATATGAGGTTTGGGTGATACAAGGGAGTCTAAAAAATAAATTTATAAAATCATGATTATATCAACATTGATCTAAGATTTCAAATGCTGGGCACAAATAATATTGATATCAAGGTGGAGTGATTGAAATGAGAATGTGATGTGAATGTGCCGAAAATAAAAAGATAAAGTAAGGAATGATTATATTGAAAGGTTGGTTGGAGAGACATACATCGAAGGCAAGGTAATAATAAATAGATTTGGACTGAGTTGTATATAATGAAGGGTGGATAAAATGCACCCATTAGATGAGTGGATAAAATTAGCATCACTGGTTTAAAGAAATATTTAAAAACACGAATAAAAGTTGTTCAAAATAATTTCCAAAGAATAAGTTTAGCTCCTAAGAGGTTTGGATGGCTTGAAGCCTTGGATATATATTTAGAGGAATGAATAAAAATGAGGATTTCTAAATCTTTGTATAAAAGCTGATGATGATCATGATTCTTATTTTTCTACCTTCATCATATATGTTCATGGATCACTTAGCACATCCAAATCTTTGTAGGATTTGTGGATATATTCAAGTATACCGCCGGTTTGACTTGGGAGTATAGTATAGTTAGTATTAGTTGTCAATTACAGACCATTTAGTTAAATGTTGTATATCATTTTAAGGTTTTGATTCTGTATTCATATAATTTGGTACTTAGATATCAAGTGAATATTAATGGCAGGATTACGAGGGCCAACCTTTCCCTTCTTAATGGGTTGTGCTCACCTTATTTATTTATTATTTTCTTGTTCATGGGATTTTTTTTTTTTGCTAAGTTCTTAGCAGCAGGAGGAAGGATAAGGAAAAATTGCTTTAACCAACATGAAATTATTATTTTTGAACTATTAGTTGAATGATGAGAAAGAAAATTGTCATGTCACGTTAAACATTTCATATAATATTGTGAATATTTGCTAAATGTATTCAATGATCTGATTTTTATGACTTCACAAAATATTTTTTTTGCTGAAAACATAATGCTGAATTACATAACATCTGCTACATAGGAATTTTAACTCTTCAATATGGTTTTAATTTCATCTTTAGATTGTCTGGTGAACTGTCTGTTATCCATTTGTCAAAAGTTTTCCCGATGAAGTTCATGTGGTCTGTCTGCTTGGTTACGTTTCTCTTTAATATAAATATATTAATCATGGAAGGCTGGAATCATATAAATATATATTTTATGTTCCTGCTTTTTGCTTATAAATGCTCATATATCACTTACTACATTTTTAAGATATGTAGGATTTATGAATATTGTCAAGTTTACAACAATTTGGATTCTGAATATAGTTTGTAGTAGTTTTCAAGTGCAGACTATTTGATTCAAAGTTATATTTCTCATTAGTTTTACTGCCTATCAATCTAATATAAACTGAAAACAAATTATTGTCATTGGATAAGATAGTGGTGCTTAAAATATATGAAATTTCTATTCTTTCCAGATGATTTGCTAACAGAGCTGAATTGGAACTTCTTAGTTCATGTAAAGTTGATATGGATATACAAAGGGTGGAGTGAAATATACAAAGGGTTGGTAAGAAAAGGAATTTATTTTTAATATTTGACAAAAAGTTGAATAGTATTGGTCTTACAATAATTATCAGAAAAATAAAAATCTTACAAAGAGTGCTTTGAGTAAAGTAAAATATATAATTTTGGAGGATTTATATAATATACTTGGTTCAAAGGCAGGGGTAAGAAGATTAATAGAATTGCTATGGCAAGTGATAAGAAATATGGAAATTTTGATCAAATTCAAAAGTAAAGAAAGGATCTTGGTTAAAATTTTAGAATAAATATGGAAAAGCTAGTTTGAGAAATTTCTTTTGAGTTTTTTGGAAGAGCATAATACACAAAATAATGAAGCACATTAAAGATTATTCTAAAAAAAGTGAAAGCAAGTTGGTTTTGGAAAGCTTGCATAAATATGTCTTTTGGTTTGGATAAGCTATTTATTGAGATATGATAAGTTATGAGGGATATTGTGTGGTGATTTGGTAATCAATCATTTCAATATAATTTTAAGGACCGACAAAATGCTAAATAATTAGAGAAGAAGTATTTTGGTGGCCATATTTTAGAGTTACGGTGATGTTCAAGATTGTGTTAATCATAAAGAAATGAAGCTTACGAGCCATGCCATGAAGTTCTGAGAATGAATAATGTAATATAGGCTTATTACTTAAGCAAATTTATTAAAGGTATATATGATGGAGCACTAACTTGTGTTAGTAGTTTTGGAGTTACAGAAGAGTTTCCAATTAATAAGCTTATCGAGGATCAATATTGAGTTCATATGTTTTTCCGTATGGATTAAGGAGATGCTCACAAAGAATATTTAAAATGAGCCATATTGCATGATTTTTGTTGTTGATATAATTCTAATTGGGGAGATATTAATGAAATATGTAAAAAATTAGAGCAATCAAGGAAATGTGAAAAATATAGTGGACTTTGAATTGATATGATAAAAGTTGATAATATGTTATGTAATAATTTTAGTTAGTATGATATTAAGAAATATTATTCAATTGTATTAAAAGATAAATGTGATACATTGGGGCGATTTATTTAACTATTTTGGATCTATCATACAAAAAAATAAAGATATAGATGAGGATATAGTTTCTGGAGTTAAGGTTTGGATAGTTAAAATGTGGACGCATGCATAGGGAGTTTTGGGTGATAGTAGGGAGACTTGAAAATAAATTTATGAAACTGTGATTAGTTTGTAGATATTGTATAATTTTGAATGTTGGATAGTGAAAAATTATTGATATCCAAGTTGAACGTAGGGAGGCTTGAAAATAAATTAAAAAACTGTGATTATTTTGTTGATATTGTATAATTTTGAATGTTGGATAGTGAAAAACTATTGATATCCAAGTTGAGCGACAAAATAAGAATGTTAAATGGGTGTGTGTGGAAAAAAAAGAAGAAGAATTAAGGAATGATTAGAGAAATGGTTTGAGTGGTGGTATATATTATGAAGGCTAAATAGACCTGGATTTTCATGACATTTATAATCAAGGGTAGATAATGTGCTCATGAGATGAGCAAATAAAATTGTTGTTAGGGGATCAAGAATGAGATGTGTTAGACTTAAGATTAATATTGATAAGAAATTGTTCAAAATGATTTGTGATAAATAAGTTTAGCCACTCAAACATCAGGCAACAAGTATAAGTAAAAGATTTGGATTTATAGAGCTTGGGATAAAGCTGATGAGTCACACAGTGGCGACAATTATGAATAAAGATTTGGATTTATAGAGCTTTGGATAAGGCTGATGTTGGTGATCTTGATCATTATTATTATTATATTTCTACCGGCGCCCGGGTGCAGTGTTAAATAGGCAAGGGTTCCCACATCAAGGACGGATGTGGGCAAAGAAGCTAGTCCATGATACTAAAATTAGGATAGGAACTTGGAATATAGGTTCCCTTACAGGAAAATTAATGGAATTAATAGATATTATGATTCATAGGAAGTTAAATATTTTGTGCATTCAGGAAACTAAATGGGTTGGAGATAAGGCTAAGGAAATTGATAGTTTAGGATTTAAACTTTGGTATTCGGGTAGGAGTCGTACTAGAAATGGTGTAGGTGTTATTATAGATAAGAGTTTAAAGGATAATGTTATAAAAATTAATAGGATTGGAGATAGAATTATAGCTTTAAAGATTGTTGTTGATGATAAGATTGTTAATATTATAAGTGCTTATGCTCCTCAAGTAGGTTTGGATATGAGCTCTAAATTAAATTTTTGGAATGACTTAGAAGAATTAATACAAAATATACCTCTTGAAGAAAGAGTTTTTATTGGAGGAGATTTAAATGGACATATTGGTAGAGAGGTAGATGATTTTAAAAGCATTCATGGTGGCCATAAATTTGAAACGACGAATGAAGGTGGCAAGACCATATTAGATTTTTGTTTAGCTTATGATTTTTCAATTGCTAATACCTTATTTAAGAAAAGGAATGAGCATCTCATCACTTATAAAAATGGATATAATACAACCCAGATTGACTATTTTCTTATTAGAAAATTAAATCGTTTAGATTGCAAAGATTGTAAAGTTATTCCGAGTGAAAATTTATGTACCCAACATCGATTATTAGTTTTGGACTTTAAGATAAAGGGGCATAAAATAAAAAATAAAGTAAAACAATTTTCTAGGATTAAATGGGGGCATTTAAAGAATATTAACAAAAATATTTTTGGAAATAAGATTTTAGATCTTAAGATTTTGTCTGTGCATGAGGATGCTAATATTATGTGGGAAAAAGTGGCTAGTGATATTAAGAATATTGCAAAAGATGTCCTTGGAGTATCAAAGGGAAAAGCTCCCAATAGTAAAAATAGTTGGTGGTGGAATCCTAATGTGCAAGAAAAAATTAAAAATAAGAAGCTTTGTTATAAAAATTGGTTTAATTTTAAAAATTATGATAATTGGAAAATATATAAAGTGGCTCGTAAGGATGCTAAGAAAGCAATATGCGATGCAAAGGCATTAGCTTTTAGTGATTTATATAATAGATTAGATACTAAAGAGGGAGAAAGATATATATATAAGTTAGCCAAACAAAGAGATAGGAGTAGTAAGGATTTAGTTCAAGTGAAGTGTATTAAAGATGAAGATCAAAAAATACTTTTCTTAGAAGATGATATTCAACAAAGATGGATGAGATATTTTGCTAAACTTTTTAATGAAGATTGTGAAAATAAGATTGACTATAGTGACCTTAGCACCCTAAATGAAAATAAAGATTTCTATTTTTATCGGCGTATTAGTAAAACTGAAGTTAGAGAGGCTTTAAAGAAAATGAAGGGTGGAAAAGCTGTTGGACCTGATGATATTCCAATAGAGGTGTGGAAATGCTTAGGAGATGAAGGAATTTCATGGCTTACTAAACTTTTTAATACTATTTTGAAGACTAAAAAGATGCCAGATGAGTGGAGAATGAGTATGTTAATTCCTATTTTTAAGAATAAAGGTGATGCACAAGATTGTGCGAATTATAGAGGTATTAAGTTAATGTGTCATACTTTAAAACTATGGGAGCGAGTTATGG